GCAGGTCATGAAATAGACCCTACTAGTTGACTATCCAACATCCACTCTCCTCCCCATCTTCCTCAGAGAAGCCAAGGAAATGCAAGACAAAGTGTTAAAAGTGCCAGCTAAGCAGTTAAAAGTAGCCGCCAGAGCCAGGCATGGTGGCACATGCCTGTGATCCCAGAACTCAGGAGTCAGAGGCAGGAGGATCACTGAGAGTTCAAAGCCAGCCTGGGCTACATAGTGAGTTCAAGGCCGACCTGAACTACAGTGTAGTGAGACCCTGTCTCAAAAAAAAAAAGAAAAGAAAGAAAGAAAAAGAAAAAGCTGCCAGAGGCCTAGGCAAGCCCGTAGGCCCTGTGGAAGGGGACCCCTTGCCCAGCTCAAGGGTGGACATCTTCTCAGGAATTGGTTAAGGAACCTGGCCTACATTAGTCCATGTGTAGCACTAATATTCACTCTCCCCTTCTTTAATAGAACTGACTTTCCACTGAGCTGATAGCTGCTTTGCTGAAGACTACATTTCCCAGCATCCCAGGCAGCTTGAGTGGGATGAGTGCCTAGGTTCTCACCAATGGCCAAGGAGCAGAAATGTTAGTACTATCTCTAAGCTGTGCCCTCAGTAGGAATGTGCATGTCTTTCCCTGTCCATTCTCCCTGTCTGGGAGATGATAACAATTGAAGCAGTCTCCTTGAATGTAGATAAGGTAACCCTGTGTGGAGAAAGGCCAATCCTTCTCATCAACCTTGGACTGTCTTTTTCTAAATTCTTATATGAAAGAGACATAGATTTCCTTGTTTGTTTGTTTTTTGAGACAGTTGTTATTATGTAGTTCTGGCTGGCCTTGAACTCACTATGTAACCCAGGATGGTCTCAAACTCTTGCCAGTCTTCTTACCTTGCCTCCCAGTTTTGGGGATGAATTACAGACATGCACCACAGCACCCAGCTCTTCCTCTTCTTCTTCTTCTTTTTTTTTTTTCGTACCAGGATAGAACTCAGGACCTTGTGCTTGAGAGGCAGGCATGGTGCCACTGAGCTAAATCCCCAGCCCATTCTTCCTCTTCTTATAAGAACGCCATTCGTATTGGATTCCACCTCATTTAACTTTAATCATCTCCTTAAAAAGTCCCACCTCCAAATAGAGTCACCCTGGGGATTTGGGCTGCATTGTAAGAAACAGGACACAGGGCTGGGGATTTAGCTCAGTGATTCCGCCGCCTGCTTCGAAAGTGCAAGGACCCAAGTTCGATCCCCGGCACCAAAAAAAAAAAAAGAAGAAGAAGAGGAAGAAACAGGACACAATTCAGTCCATAACATTTACTTTACCTCTTGACTTCCTGCTATGTGGGCCAGCCAGTGTCCTTTTGTTGAAGCCAGCTTGAGTTGGCTTTCTGTCACATCTTACCTTACAGAATTTTGCTCCACTTCATAATCCTGCTGTGCCTAGCCCTGAGCCCAGGGCAAGAAGATATTAATAAAAATCTGTGGAATCAACGCCCTGTTGTTAGTTTTCTTCTTGTACCTGTAATGACAACTTCACCCCCAAAATAAATACATAAACAAAGCCTTTCTCCTTCCCTATGCCCCAGGATAAACACCTCAAGCTGTCACATGGACTTTGTGGCAGTTAGGGTGGGGTGTCAACTGGATTGGTTTTGGGATCCACCTGGAGTCTGGTGGGCACACTGCTTGCTTTGCCTGGGTAGGTCGTGGAGTGTGGCTTTGGGCTCTATGTCTGGTCCCTTGCTCCCTCCTCTCTGGTGGTGTCCCCTTCTCTGTTTCCTGGCCACGAGGAACCGAGGAGCTTTGCTCCTGCAGGCCCTTCTGCCATGACGTTCTGCCTTGGAGACAGCCGACCATGGACTGAAACCATGAGCCAAAATAAACTTCTCCTCCTTTAAGTTGTGGGTGTCAGGAATTATGTCTAGTGACAGGAAAGTGACTAAGACAGACTTCATCTCTAGAGCATTTTCCTCAGATTCACAGTAGCAGTTACACACTTATAGTGTGACTACACACTTATAGTGTGATAGTCAGCTTTCCATCCCTGTGACAAACTACCTCAGAGAATTAACTTTAAAGGAGGAAAAGTTTATTCCAGTGCACGGTTTCAGAGGCTTCAGTCCACAGTCACACGACCCTGCGGCTTTGGGCCTCTGGCAGCACAACACATAATGGCAGCAACATGTGGCAGTGGAGGCCTATTCACTCACAGAAGCCAGGAAGCAAAGAGAGATTGGAAGGGGCTGGAATCCCAATATCCTCTTCAAGGACCATTCCCCAGGGATCTAACTTCCTCCAACTTGGTCCCAGCTCCTGATGGTTCCACCACCTCCCAATAGCCGCACCAACTTGCTGGTGAGCAAGCTTTTAAATCTAGACCTTTGTTTTCTGTTTTGTTTTTTGTTTTTTTGTTTTGACAAGGTCTTGCTATATTGTTCAGGCTGGTCTTGAACTCACTGTGTAGCCCAGGCTGGCCTCAATTGTTCTGCCTCAGCCTCCCAAGTGGAGGGATTACAGGCATGTGCCTCCACCCCCAGCTCAAACCTGGACCTTTGGGTCACTTATCCAAACCATACCACTCAGGGAGCTGAGGCTTCCACCATAAAATAAGGAGGGTGAAGTAGACACTTTCTGCATACCTTCTAGCAGAAATACCCAAGCCCTCCAGCTCCCACATTCCATGGCTCTGCCTGAGGCTCTGTGAAGGAATCATTCTGCCATTTAGTCAAGAGACCCGAGTAGAGCAACCAGGAGGCGTCTCATGAGAGGTCCCTCTGGGCTCCTTCTAAGATTGGTAACTCTACAGAAGGCCCTTCCAGCACCAACTGGGGATTTGGTTTGAAGAATCCTACACACTGAATCTCTAAGATTCTGTACTCTTCTGCTAACCATAGACATTTTTTGGTTGGCTGACAGGTCACCTGTCCCAAATACAGATGAGAAAACCTTGAGAAGGGCTTGGATAGTCACATCGTTGTCCTTCGAGATAGACCAAAGGCTGGCCCTGCTGGGGAACAGGAGGGTAGAGGCATTGCAGGGCTCACTCACTCAGTCAGATCCTATGTCCAGGACACTCGGATTATGACGTCCATTGTGTAGCCATTCAGACTGCCATTGGTGGAGACCAAGAGGCAGACGTATCAGTTCCAGGCAAAACATTTCCTCTCCCAGCCATGGGGGCTCCACTTCCCTGCTCACTTGTGCAGCCTGAGGACAGGACTGCCTCACTCCTTGGCCAACTAGGATGTGGAAGAATTAGATCCCAAGGAGGATGACTAGCAAATGGACATCTTGGTCACCCGGGACTTTAGAGGTCTAGGCATGCCTCCTCTTGAACCAACTCTGAGCTTTCTTTAGTATATCTTTTTTTTTTTTTTTTTTTGGTACCGGGGCTCGAACTCGATCCTTGCACTTGCGCAGCAGGCTGCGAAACCACGGAGCTAAATCCCCGGCCCCTTTAGTATATCTTTTAAAGTAACTGTTTCCAAGCTGAGTGTGGTGGCACATGCCTGTAATCCCAGCCCTTGGGAGGCTAAGGCATGAGTTTCACCATGAGTTCAGGGCCAGCCTGGGATACAAAGTAAGACCCTGTCCCAAAAAACTAAATAAATAAATAGATAGATAAATCAAGTTACTATTCCCAGGACCATCACCAGGAACATCACTGTCCAAACCCTACCTAATCAGCTTATTAAATCATTGCTATAGCCTTGCAGGTGTGTCTCTTTGCTATTCCTGTTTCAGAGCCGAGCAGATTAGGGCTTGAAGAGGGAATATCACTTCCTCGGAGGTAGTAAGTGACACACGAGGATTTGAACTCAGGCCTGAGGGCCATGCCAGCTAGGCAGAGTGCTTAGTGGGGGACCTTTGGAAATTGGCATGGTGAGCGAGCACCTGGCTCTGGAAGGTCAGTGCTGACGGGGAGGAAGTTAGGACCAGAGAGCAACAGTCACTGGAGCGAGGGACGAGGCCCATGAAGGCCACCAAGCAGCCCAGGTCAAGCATACACAGGGAGGCAGCCATGAAGAGTCTGGGTCGTGGTCATTTTTGTTTGTTTGAGACAGGGGCTCACTGTGTAGCCCAGGTTGGCCTCGAATTTAGAGTGATCCTCCTGTCTCAGCCTACCAAGTGCTGGGATCACAGGTGTGCACCACCATGCCTGGTGCTTCCTGTTGTTTTTCCAGCCTCATGGGCTGCATTTTAGCAGCTGCAGATCTCTGGTTTGTCTCCTCACTGCCTGCGCTCTCTGTCAACTTTCCAACACTTCTCTCTGGAACCTGGACTCTGCTGTCCTGAATAGATCCTGCTTGACCTGGGTGAAAGGGAACAGTTGGGGCCTTATAAATAAATAAATAAAAATATAAAACAATTAAAAAAGCCTTGGGGTGTAGTTCAATGTGAAGGCCCTGGGTTCAATCTCCAGTACCAAAAAAAAAAAAAATCCAACTGGGCCACTTCCTACCTGGGTGACCTCAGCAAGACACTCAGCGTCTCTGTACCTCAGGGTCACCATCTGTAGGGGGAAAATAATAGCACCCCTTCACCAGGTGCTGTGACTGTGATACAAAGCAAGACTTAGCACATTGCTGGGCACAGTCAGTAGTCAGTAAGTGGGAACAGCTGTTGTCATTGTTAATAATAATAATAACCTGTTTGAAAGACCTTCAGAGAGCAGAGGCAGGGAGAGGAAAAAGAGGTCAGTGTGGTACAGTCAAACTGGAAAGTACCAAGATCTGGGGGTCTGGGAATCAGTGTGTGGTTGGTCTCCCCCATTTCCCTGTCATGTCAGGCTCAGCTGCACTTCTCCTTCTGTTCATCCTCAAACATTATCTCCCTCCTGTTTGTCTTTAATTTTTGAGATGGTCTCACTATGTAACTCAGACTGGGCTTGAACTGGAAGCAATCCTCCTGCCTCAGCCTACCAAGTGCTGAGATTACGGGTGTGCGCCACCACACCTGGCTTTCCCTCTTTTTGTTCAGCATCTGCTGACAGAGCAAGGTCCCCTTCAACACCTGGGAAGGGATGGAAGTTCTGCTCTCCCTGTCACTTCAGCCTGGACACTGGGTCTGAGATTGGGTCCAAGAGGAGGAGGTGACGGAGACCCACAAGCCTCATGCGCTCTTCCCAGATGTTTGCTCTGTGCCTGGTGGGTGAAAAACACAGAATCCCTTTCGTTGCTTGTCAGGCTTCGTCCGCTAGCTACTGGGAGAGGGATGATCTGTTACCATCCTCATAGTCAACATCTCCCATTTATAAAGGCAGTGAGCTTCAGAAAGCCCAAGGAACCTGCCTGAGATCACGTACCAGAGTCCCAGCCGATCTTAGAGCAAAGGCTCTGGCCAGATGTCCCCCAAAGCCTCCTGAGGCCATAGGGGGTACCTCTGGAAGGCGATGGATCATGGGGGCTGAGAGCTGCCTTGCTGTTAGGAGGTGGGGCCTGCCGGTTAGAGGCGGGGGTGGTGGCTGTGACCCGGAAGATTACATCTCCCTTCTCAGCTCCTCCCTGCTCTCTGCTGCCACACCGACTCCACGTGGTGAGCAGCCCCCTCCGCCAGGCCCCTCTGCCCTGCCGCCCTGCCTTGGAGCCAGCCGACTATGGACTGAAACCTCCACAAACTGTGGGCCGGCTACGGTGTCCCAGCTACGAGAAGGGGACTTAGACACTGCCCATCCACAGGTGCCTGGTAAATGGGAACGCTCCTGCCTCTTGCTTTTTTTTTTTTTTCCCCCGGCTTCCTTCCTTCCCCACTAGCGCCTGGCAGGAGAGCGGCCCCCCTGACCACTTGACCACCTAGCTGCAGCCCTGCTTTCCCAGAATCCTCCCAGGCTGCGTCTCTGGGCCTGGAAGGCGACAGTGGTTTCTCCATCCTTCCCTTGTGGCTGCCTGGGGCCGGCTCCCCTGAGAGCAGAGGCTCCGGGCCCCAGGCGCAGCCCCGCCCTCTACGTAAACACCAGTTGGGCACCAAATGACCTCAGGAGGGAGGTGCTCGGCTCCCACCTCTCCCAGCCCGCCTGTCCCTCTGTGTTCCAGGGGAAGCGCCAGGCGAATCTGGCGCCCTGGCACCCAGGCCACCTCCCTCCTGGAAATAGTCACTTAGAGCCAAACCTCCAGCTGAAGGTGGATGGGAGTTAAAAGTCCCCGAGTGTGCCTCGCCTGCTCTGGAAGCGGCTCCACCCTGGGCTGTCCCAGACAGGCCGCTCTCTCTAATTTCTATATTTTCAATACTTGGGACAGACAGTCCTAAATGGGACCTGTTTATTTCTTTAAAATAAAGGCAGGAATTAAATAGAACAAAATATGCATAGTTTTAACTTGGGGCAGAAGGGATAGAAGTGTGTGTTTTATTATTCTCTGTAACATACTTTTCTTTTTTTTTTTTATTAAGTTTATTGGTACATTTTAGGTATAAAATACAGTTACATTCATCATTGAGATCTTGTACCTTTTTTTTTTTTTTTTGTACTGGGGATCAAACTTGGATCCTTGTGCTTGCACAGCAGGTGGCAAAACCACTGAACTAAATCCCCGGCCCAAGGGATCTTGTACCTTTATGTAACATACTTTTCTATATAGTTAACATTTCTTTAAGAAAAAAACATTTTTGTCAGGTATGGTGACATATGCCTGTAATCCCAACACTCGGAAGGCTGAGACAGGAGGCTCGCCGTGAATTCAATGCCAACCTGGACTACATAGGGTGACCCTGTCTCCTCCTACTTGCCCCCAGCACCAAGGGCATCAAGAAGATGCTGGACAGAGTGGGCATTGAGGCAGACAATGACCAGCTTAATAAAGTCCTCAGTGAGCTGGGTGGGAAAAACATTGAAGATGTAATCACCCAGGGGACTGGCAAGCTTGCCAGAGCACCGGCTGACGGAGCTGGGGCCATCTCTGTGGCCGGCTCTGCAGCTCCTGCCTTTGGTTCTGCTCCTGCTGCAGCAGAGGTGAAGAAAGAAGAGGAGGAGGAGTCCAAGGAGGCTGATGATGACATGGGATTTGGCCTGTTTGATTAAATTCCTTCCCCTCTGCACATAAAGCCTTTTTATGTGTTGTAAAAAAAAAAAAAAAAGAAAGTGGGAAGAACAATGGGATATGTGTGTTCAAACCAAGGAGGAGGATTTTGAGGGTGGATTAATGGCCATGTGTCCTTAACTTTATACATTTTAAAAATTTTATTTATTTATTTTTTGGTACCGGGGATCAAACTCAGGACCTTGCACTCGTGAGGCAGGCGGCGGAACCGCTGAGCTAAATCCCAGCCCTAAAAATTTAAACATTCACCGTATTTTTTATCACATCTTGTATATAAATATGCATTTTTTTTTTCTGGTACCAGGGATCAAACTTGGGTCCTTGCGCTTGCAAGGCAGGCGGCGGAACCACTGAGCTAAATTCCTGGCCCTGTAAATATGCATCTTGAAATTGGAATCATGTAGTTCATACTACTTGTTTTTCTAACAATCTCTCTCATTTTGATTTTAGCTGCAAATGACAGAAAACCCCAATGTTTGAGTAGCAGCGGCTTACGCATGTTAATTTCCCTACCTGGTAAGTGACTTCAGAGGAAGACAGCCCAGGCTGGAACCACAGCCTGCGCCCATTAGAGACCAGAATCTTCTCACCTGGTGTTCTCCATCCTCAGCCTGGCCCCTGCCTCGTGGCCCAAAGTGGCTGCTCATATCCACACTCAGAAAGCTGAAGGAGGAAGAAACAAAGAAGAGGGCAGCTTCTCTTTCAGCACACACTCCTCACAGTCCTACGTTGGAACCTGCCTACAGTGTGGCAGTGGTAAGAGGTGGGCTTTTAGGAGGTGATTGCCTCACCAGGTAGTCCCCTCATGAATGGGATTAGTGACCTTATAAAAGATGTGTGAAGGGGGCTGGGGATTTAGCTCAATGGTGCCACCGCCTGCTCCCAAGCGCAAAGTCCCAAGTTTGATCCCCAGTACAGAAAAAAAAAAAAAAGATGTGTGAAGGAGCTCTTGTCCCTCCTATGATGTGACATGCAGCAAGAAAGGGTCCTCTTAGAAGCAAGACACTGGATCTGCTGGTGCCTTTGGACTTCCTGGTCTCCAGAACCATGAGTAGTACATTTCTATTGTTTATTGTTTACTCAGACTGAGGTCATTTTGTTACAGCAGCAGAAACAGCCCAAGACAGACACTTCCTGCAATTCACATGCATCACTTCCACTTGCACCCCACTGGCCAGAACTAAGCCCTGTGGCCATTGGGAAATGTGACATCTGTCTGAGTAGGAGCTCTAGTCCTATAGCAAAAGAGAACAGATATTGGGGGACAGCTGGTATCTCTGCCACATATCACAAACATCTTTCCCGTATACATACATTTGGGTTTGTTTGTTTGGTTGGTTGGTTGGTTTGGTTTTTTTGAGACAGGGTCTTGCTATGTAGTTCAGTCTGGCTTTGAACTCACTATGTAGTCCAGGCTGGCCTCGAACTCATGGTGATCCTCCTGCCTCAGCCTCCCGAGTGCTAGGATTATAGGCATGTGATACCACAGCCGGTTTATCCAGTGTATATAATTTTGTACCCTACTTTTTCCCCTTATTTTTGGTGAATATTTCCCCATATTATTAAATATCCTTAGAAATTCTTAAATTTTGGTGACTGCTTAATATTCCATAGTATGCATGTAGTATCCCTTATAGATACCATGACTTATTTATTACTTGATATTTTGTTTTTTGTAGTGCTGGAGATCAAACCCATGATTTCACACAATTGCTTGATATCTGGGTATTTCGTGTTGATAAATAATCCTTTTTTATGTTTAAAACTTGTCAGAGGAGCCAATCATGGGGGGCACACACATAATCCTAGCACTCTGGGAGACTGAAGCAGGAGGATTGAAATTGAGCCTAGTCTGGGCAACTTGGTAATTAAGCAAGTCCCTGTCATAAAATAAAAGATGAGAAAAGGATGGGGAAGTAGCTCAGTGTGAAGGGCCTGGGTTCCATCCCAAGTTCAAATAAACCAAAAGAAAATTCTCAAGAGGAGGAGACCCAAGCTTGCCTCTCTATGCTGCGTGAGCCCACCAAAGCTATTTCGTTCAGGCATCCAGACGATATCTGTCTTAAAAGCTGCCTGAGGGGCTGAGTTTGTTCTTACTAACAAAATGCAGCTTCCTGGTGTCAGGTGTGCCTGGCTTCTCCCAATGCAGGGAAGTCTGGACTGGGTGCAGCCTGGGAGCCGGCAGTGAAGAGTACAGGAAAGGAACAGGAGAAGACCACGAGGCGTCAGGAGCTCCGGATAGCTGGCCTGGTGAGGGGCCTGCTCACCCTGTGTTTGGTTCAGTGAACGCTTCTGACCCTTCCTTGGACCGTGTCCCGTGCCAGTCCTGGGCAGATCCCTGCCCTTCGGGAGTCAGCCAGCTCTAAATTCTCAAACGCCACAGCTTAACTGGGACAGGTGCCTACAGGACATGACCCTGGAGCCACACTCCAAAAGCTGATGCTGTAGATTGGGGCAGCCCAGAACACTTCAGCCTCCCCGGGTGACGCTGAGGGGTTACTGGGGAGAGACATCAGCCCTCCTGCAGGACATGGAAATGGTGGCGGGGGGGGGGGTGTCATCCAGGCCTTTGAACTCAAATCTCAGCTCCACCTTTTGTAGCTGCAACCTCTCATGAGTTAACCTCTATTAGTCTTAGTTTCCTTGTCTGTAAAATAGGGATAATCTTACGCTTTTCATGAGAAAGTGCCATAAATGTCAGAGAGCTTAGCAGAGAGGTACCCCATGAATGCTAGATATTGTTGTTAAATTAATTAAAATTCATGCGTTCATTTAAATTGTTTCTAGGAAGATGATTATAGTAAGGGACCAGAAACGAGGTCCCAGGCACTGCTTCATGTCCCAGGCACTACCTGACTCCTGGTGATAGACACCCCGCAGTGGGTTCCATCAGCATTGTCCTCATCTTCTTCATCCACATTTGCAGTCTAGGCCTCAGGAGCTCTGCAGCTGTCCCCACCTCACAACCTTAGAAATAGAAATGGCAGCTGGGAGCAGTGCCCCACCCTTGTCAATCCCAGCACTCAGGAGGCTGAGGCAAGAGGATCACTGAGAGTTTGAGGCCAGCCTGGGCTACATAGTGAGACTCTGTCTCAAACCACCTCCCCTCCAAAAAGAGAGAAACAAAGAGAAATCATGGCTTTCAGACCTTGAAAGTGTGAGCTTAGTGTCCACTCTGCCTGCCTGCCCAGCAGGAAAGAGATGCTCTCCGCTCCTTCTAGACGGATGTCCAAGGCAGACAGGCAAGATGAGGATGAGGGAAACCCAAAGTCCCTCCTTTCGACTCTCTGCTTCTGGGGGAGCCCAGTCCCAGCCCCCCACCCTGAGGGTCAGGGAGCTGTGGGGGCCCAAGTTTGCCTTGCGGTGAGAAGGAACACACAGGGCCGCTGCTGATAATGACATTTTCAAGTGCTCGTGGATGGCATGGTTGCCATGGTGATGCTGATGGCTCTGAGCAAGCTGCGCCTTCTCTGGAGTTGAGTCAGGTTCAGCTGCATTTTTTACAAAATAAAACCAACACTCTGACCTATGGAAGACAAAGCAGAGCTCCAGCTGGAGGACACGATGCCCAACACTGGGGGCTACATCAGCTGCACTGTGCATGGTCCTGGGTCCCCTCTCATCAGCCAGGTCGGGAAATAGAGGCAGAGCCCAGCTGCCGGCTGGAAGCCACTTAATAGGAAGCAGGTCCTGTTTTCTCAGCTCTGGCCCAAGGACCAGACTCCTTCAGGGGTCTCTGCCCTACTCATGTGTAGGAGTCATTGGGGCCCAGGAGATGGGGCGTCCCCCGGCCACATTCAGGCCCACGGATGACCAGCACCGAGCTGGCCCCCCACGACTGACTCAAAGGAGCCCCCTCCCCAGCATCCAGGCAGAACCCAGTCAGCCCTGTAACAGGGATGACTTTGCAGGGTCCTGGGAAGACAGAGCAACCGCAAAAATGTTCTCCCAGGCCCTGAATCTGTGGGGTGGGGTCCCTTCTCAGACCTCCCACAAGAGAAGGGGGGGCCAGTGATGACTCCAGCTTCAAGAGTGACTTCTTTTTTTTTGGTACGGGGAATCGAACTCGGGACCTTGCGCTTGCGAGGCAGGCGCCAGAACCACTGAGCTAAATCCCTGGCCCCTCAAGAGTGACTTCACAGGAACTCCATGGTAACAGGAACATGGGTCCAGGAATCCTCTTCCCTAGCTTGGACATTATCCCAAAATCTTAGACCTACAGCGGCAGGTGCCATAAAATTTGCTTGTTCGTCTGGGTTCACTGCTGAGCTCAGAGATGGAGGAGGAGGATTTGATTTCTTCCTCTCTCTCACCCAGATGTCCTGGTGCTTTTAGCTCATGATCAGCTGGGAACACCCAGCCCCTGCCTTGCCCTCTGCCTCACTGTAGTTAGAGCAGCGGGTACTCAGGTTGGAGTGCATGGGTTTAAGTCCTCCTTCTGCTCCTGCCAGCTCTGTGACTGAGCTCCCACCTCTTCTGGAATGTGGGGGTGATACTACCAACAGCACCCATTCGAAGCATGGCTCCACAGGTCAATGTGACAGTGACCACAGACGTTGGACACAGAGCCTGGCAGTGCGGAATAAGCATCCGGTAACTTTGCCTTTGCTAACTTCTGTTCAGGCCCTCTCTTATCCCACCTCACCTGATAAGAGCACAGGCCTGACTGTAGTGTCACTCATTTCCAAGCTATTGGCCACGCCACAGAGGAGTGATTTATCTAAAATGCAATCCTGGGCTGGGGATTTAGCTCAGTGGTTCTGCCACCTGCCATGCAAAGACCCAAGTAAGATCCCAGTACAAAAAAAAAAAAAAAAACATGCGATCCTGACCTTGTTGTTTTCCTCCTTTAAAATTCATCAGTGAGCAGGGCATAGTGGTGATGTCTGTAATCCCAGCACTCAGGAAGCTGAGACAGGAGTATCACCATGAGTTCAAGGCCAGCCTGGACTACATAGAAAGACCCTGTGTCAAAAACAAAACAAAATTCATAGGTGGCTCCTATTTGCCTTCAGGATAACTCCTAGTTTCCTGCGGAGTAGCCCACCAGGCCCTGTGTGCCCCCAAGTGTGCCCCACCTGGATGAGTTTCTGCCATCACCAACTCTGTGAGGTATCCCCGAGGGGCCAGGCTCGGCCACATCTCCAGGAGTGTAGCCACGTTCTTCCCTTTATCCAGCATGCCCTGCTCATCCTCCAAGACCACATCAAGAAGCCCTGACACTTTCTTGCTTTGGTTTGGTTTGACTTTTGGGTTTTTTGTTTGTTTGTTTGTTTGTTTTTGGTACCGGGGATTGAACTCGGGAGGCAGGTAGGAGACACCTCTGAGCTAAATCCTGGGCCCTGTTTTTTGGTTTTTTGCGACATGGTTTCACTGAATCGTTCAGGTTGGCCTTGACCTTGTGCTTATCCTCCTGCCTCAGTCTCCAGAGTGCTGGAATCACAGATGTGCCTGACACTTTGAAATTTCCCAAGTCCAGACCCAGTGGCTCCCTCTTCTGAGCCACACCAGAACACTGCAAAGACAGTTATCACTTGACCCTGCGATAACTCCTCTCCATACTCATGAACCTTTTCAGTTTCTGGAGGGCAGCATGGATTCTAACTAATTTCAGTATCATCATGTTCAGAGATGGTTACAAATGAATGAAGACAAAAGCCCATTTACAGAAGAGAAAAAGGAGGCCCGGTATGGCATGGTAATATAGCTAAAGAAGATCCCAGAAGTTATCGTTCCAGCCACTCTGACTGCTGGGCCCCTTCACCCTTATGGCTCACGAGGACCACTCAGACACCAGGCCTGATGGCTGTAGGAGAAGGGGGTGAAGAGGGACTGGGGCATCCCTATAAGGAGCCTGAGGGAGACCCTTGTCCTTTCCACCATGTGAGGACACAGCAAAAAGATGCCCATCTGTGACCCAGGGAGCAGGCCCTCCCCAGAGGCTGGCTTTGTTGACACCTTATCTTGGTCTTCCAGCTTCCGGAACCGTGAGAAATCGGTTTCTATCATTTAGAAGTGGTTTGTCAGAGGAGCCTGGATGAACTGCTTCTATGTCTCCATCCCTTTCACCCAACCCCTGGGGGTCCAGTTCCCAAAGGCCACTAGGCTGAGGCACACACACGCACAGACAGGGGGCACAAGTGTGCCATCCCGTGGGGCACCGGCCAGTGGTCACCAGGACAGGCCTGAGCCTCTGGCGGTTGGGCTAAGAGCCAGGCAGACTGAGGACAGATCAGAAGCAGGGTGCTGGGAGACACTGCACCCTGCCCAGCCCCAGGCCTCAGATGGAACCCAATCCCCCAGCATCCTGGGCATGAGAGACACCAAGGCTGATGAGATATGTTTAAGCCTCGATTCCCCACAAGCTCCAGCACTTCCAGAGAGTCAGACCCACCCAACATCCCCAGCAACTCAAAACTGTAACTCCCAGCAGGGCCGAATCCCGACCCAGCCCCACTCCCGAACCCTACCCGCCCTCCATGCTCTGACCTCTCAGCCCAGCCTGGAGCAAGACCAGACCCCACACGTTGACCTCCACCCTCTCCTTCCTGACCCAGTCATCTTCTCCAGGTGCACCCCAGCTGGCCTCTCCTGCCACTCCGGTCTCACCTCTTCTCGGAGGCTGTAACTGCCCCTGGTATGCGAAACAGTGACCCTGTGGCTCCTGACTACAACCTCCCTATGACCTGCCCCTCCTACGAGCACCTAAGGGTAGGAACAGACCCACTTTGTTCTCACTACATCCTCGGGGCCGAGGCTGGTGCCTGGCATGGAGCAAGAACTCAGTACATTCTGTGACATGAATGAATGAATCAATGGGCTCAGGCTCTCCCCATCTAAAATGATATCTACAACAGCACTCGGGAGGCTGAAGCAGGAGGATTGCCATGAGTTAGAGGCTAGCCTGGACTACAAAGCAAGACCCTGTCTCAAAAATAAATAAATACGGGCCGGGGATTTAGCTCAGTGGTTTCGCTGCCTGCTGTGCAAGCGCAAGGACCCGAGTTCGATCCCCGGTACCAAAAAAATAAAAAAATATATAAATAAATAAATATAAATAAGTAAAATGATACCTACAAGGCAGGTGGATAGCACATGTCTGTAATCCCAGCACTGAAGGAGGCTGAGGCAGGAGTATCAAAAGTTAGAGTCTTCATTGGACAAGTTAGCAAGACCCTGGCTCAAAATTTTAAAAGGCCTGGGGATGGAGCTTAATGGGCAGGCCCTGGGTTCAATCTCCAGAACAGAAAAAAAAAAAAAAATTCCTGGGTATGGTGGCATACACGCTCGTGATCCCGCCACTTGGGAGCCCGAGGCTGAGGCAGGAGGATCGATGTGAGTTTGAGGTCAGCCTGGCTACACAGTGAGTTCAAAGCCAGCCTGGACTGCAGAGTGAGAGACCTTGTCTCAAAACACGTAAACAAACACAATTAAATAAAATAAAAAGATTCCTACAGCCATATAGTTCTGAGAATTAAATGATATTAAAAATGAAGATGCTGGGCCGGGGATTTAGCTCAGTGGTTCCACTGCCTGCCTGGCAAATGCAAGGCCCCCAAGTTTGATCCCCGGTACAAAAAAAAAAAAGGGACGCTTAGGCTGGTGCTTAGCTGGTGCGAAATAACGAGAGCAGCTATTATTGTCATTGTTGTTACTTTGCTGTTTGCTCCTCGTGAGGAGACGAGTGTGTGAACAATGAGGAAGTGTGGCCTTAGAGCTCCTCTTCCAAGTCCTCCGATGATCCTCTGTCCCTGCCCCGTCTGCCAAGGTCATCCTC